AGGGCAGCATGAGAGGGTTTTCTTTCAGGGATCCAAGACAGTGTTGTCCCGGGGCTCAGGAGAGAAGGGCTGTGGTCTGCAGAAGCAGATGTGCTGGAGAAGCAGTGTTGTATTTCTGTCTTGAGGTGTAAGAGGCAGTTCTGTGTAGAAAAAGGAACACAATCTTGCAAGTCACAATGCCTGAGCTCTGTCCCCAGACCGTCTCTAACACAGTGACCTCAAACAAGCAGTTTGTCCCTCTGCAAGACAGAGGTGACAACATCTCCCACATGGGGTGCTGTGAGGCTGTTCTGCTGTTAACAGGGGGCTGGAGATCCTTAAGGAAAGCAGCATTTTCACCTCCAGCTGAAAGTGTCCTTCCCAAGTGCCAAAGGTGTGAGCRGACAGTTTTGCAGTGTGGGCTCCACTCCTGTCTGGCTGCAGCCTAACAAATGTCAAAGATCTCTGCCCCCATACCCACCACAGTCTGTCGTGCCATGTGCCAGACCTGGTAGGAGATAACACAGCTGGAGGGAGGAAAGCCATGAGCAGTTCCTAGGCTCTGACCATGCCCCAGCTGGCCTGGATTCCCCACTGCAATGTCACTGCTCACATGCCCAGTTCTCACAGGGGACAGCTGCCTGCTCACTCAGCAGCTCAGAGGGGATKCACTTCTTGCATGGCCTCCACACACAGCCACGTGTCCAGCGTGTGAGCTTCCCAAAACATCTTGGGCCCTCCACTTTGTTGGGAGCTCTCATTAATTCTCAGAAACACACATTTGTACCTGATTGAGCAAATCACACACAGAGATTGGGCACAAACACAATGCCTTTGGATTTGATACTTTCCCCCTCCCTGGGAACTGTAGTTGCCTCACACAAAGGAGCCGTTCCTTGGAGAGCCTCTTCACGTGCCCCTGGGCTCTGCCAAGGGGAAGAGGTGAGTCCAGCAAGGGAGAGCAAAAACAGTGTTATAATCAGACTCTCTCCACTTTATTTTAGAAACATCCTGCAGAGATGGCGACCTCCTGTCACCTTCCTTGTGGGAAAAGCTAGCTTGAAGTGTTGAGCTCAGCTATTTATATCACTGCTGATAGTCTCGCCTGTCTTCTAAAGAGGGGAAAACTTTCTTCCTAACAACCCCCAGGGAAATAAACTCATATAAAGATGATTGCACAGGAACAGCCCTCCTGGCTCTCTGGTTTGGATTTCCTAGCTGTTCATCAAAGCCCTAGCTAGTTTCAACCAGAATGATCATGCTGGCCGGAGGGAACAGCAGCTCTCCTGTCCTTCAGAGCACATGGCATCACCAAGAGGATGGGCAAAACTGCTCAGAGGGCAACAGACACTTTCCCTCCCACAGATAAAGGTAGTGCAAAAAAGGAATGGCAGAGAGCAGCCCGTGGCTGGCAAGCCAGCCCGGCGCACTAGCAGGTGCCGTCCCTGCTGGGGTATTTTTATCGTGGAATTTGGCAGTCACAAGGCTGAGCAGGCTCCATGCTCGGGCCTGTGGGGTGATGCTCAGTTTTCCTCAGTTTTAGCAGCATTCCAGGTGATGATTAAGCTGGGCTGGCCACGTTGCTGGGTTGGTGCCAAGCTGTACTGGTCTGTGTCACACWCGCATCCGCCGGTGCCAAGGTCCCATGACGGCGCCCAGCTCTCGTGCAAATCCAGCAGAAAGTGTGGCAGGGCAGTGGCACAGCCCACAACTGCTCATGAATATACATGAGCCTGCTGCCAAAACCGTCTTCTATCAGGTGCTGAGACCCCACAAAGATACCCAGAGGCATTTTTTTCCCAGTCACACCAGAGTGAGACAAGATTTGCCCAGCTGAGCCCAAACTAGGAATWTAAAAGGCTGCAGATGCTCAGACGCCAAGAGGTCAAAGCATGTGAGGGCAACAGTAGTCTGGGAATGAGGAAAAGGAACTATATGGAAAATTCCCAAGAATAGTAAAGCTATGAGGAGAAAGGCTAGGTCAGGGGCAGCTCTGCATAGCCAGGAAAAGCTGTCAGGAGGTGACAATCCTTCTTTTCTTGCTGGCAGCAGAGAGCTAGATGCTCTAGAAGACCCTTGGTCTGGCACTGCAAAAATAGCTCACTAGTAAATATCAAATGTCTAAGCCAAAAATGCTGCTCTAASAGGGAAACTCCTTCTCTTGGTTTCCAACATCTCTTCCCCTGTGGCCACCTATGCCCTTGCAGCAGCCACCTCAGCTCTCTACGGGGCTGTAGCAGGATGAGCAGGAGGCACCCCTGGGCAGTCCCTCCTTTAAACTGTGTAGGGGAGGGCAGAGGAAATGTYCCTATTATCTAGCCTAGCCTAAGCCTCATGACTGCCAACCTCAGAYACTTCTGATTTACAGTCTCTCAAAATATTCTGTGCACGTCTGAGACAGGTAAATTACTGTTCTTCTCGCATCCGTTAACATTTTTTATTTCCGGATTCCTCTTGTGCTTCTGTTTGCTTTACTTTGTGTTCTGCACATACTGATTTTTACAATTTGCAAGGCTCAATAGCCTTCCCTGAGGAAAACACRCCATTGCAAAACCCCAAAACAACCCGCACACAGCAGAATGGAAGGGAAGAGGGGCTCAGTTTGTGATTGTACATCCCTATGGCAGTAAAAAAAGACTCAGTCATTGCACAGCCAGGGAGAACTGTTCATAGTTGCACAACCAAGCAAGGTGAAAGACAAAAAGGCATGTGTAAACAACATAAACTCACCTGGAAAAGTGAGGACACCCACCATTGTTCATGGTGCCTTGCAAGGAACATTCCACATGTACAGCTGTGCTACAGAATACTGATGTTGGACACACCTAGCACTGAGCTGCAGGTAGCTGGTTGCCTTGTCTGCACTCTGGGAGAGAAAAGCAAACACACAGATTTCAGTGCCACAGTCTGTAAATATTTCTCATCACTGATTTATCTGCCTGTATTTAATCCCCTCGTGCTCCTGGAGTGAAGTCATGTGCTAATTTCCCCAGAATGCAGTAACTGCACCAAAGCCATTTCAGAAGGTAAGACAGACCCACCCATACACCAGTGCAGATGCGTAAGAAAGACCAGCTGATTTTCCGTGTTACCACTCCTCCAGTTCTGGGCTGGCACCAGATCAAAGCTTCTGCACGTGCCAAGCAGCCACCAGGATCTCCACCAGCACGACTGCAGCTTGCCTGCCAGGGCGGGAAAGAGCCAAAGCCCATCCTTGGCTTCCTGCATGTCCCTTCTCCCTCYTCACATGGCTTCTGACAGCTGATGGGGTAGCAATCGGCCACTGCCCTGCCTCCTCACCTGGGCAATCCTCACCTTTCCCAGAGCAGCTGGGTGTCAGCAGCACCAGGAATTTAAGGATTCAACTTTTTATCTTTGGCCCATCCATCCTTGCAGCAGGAGACAGCACAGGAACAAATGATGGGATAAATTATCGTGTGTGCTGCTGCATTRAATTATATCACTCACCTAACTAGAGGAGGGGATATTGTTCCCTCAACAAGTGTATCTGTTCTCCAGCTTTTGCTCACAGGAAATCTACACAATATTGCTACAGTAAATTTTCAGCTTTTAACAGTGTCTACTCTCCACAAATGTTTTCTGCACTATAAAAATAATTGGCTCTTAAAGACAGGACAAGGGACAATAAAGGAGAGTTAACAATTTGGTCCCTGTGGCTTTGGGATTTGCCTTGACTAAAGCTTTWAATATTTCATTATGATGATTATATTTACATTTACTTATTAAAATGCTATTTTCCAAGAGTGACTGTGGGAGAACATTAGCTCCAAGGTAACAGTGCACACTTTACAGCACCTAKCCCTTAACTCATGCACAAGGGAGAGCTTTGCAGTGCCCTGGGAAGGTAAGCATGGTGAGAATAACTGGATCAAATTATTGCTCAAGCAGTCCCACAGAGCCCCACAAAAGATAGATTAAGCCCACTGCTCTCTTTATCCATCAGGTTAAGTGACTAGGGCAGAAACAGYGTGTCAGAGTCAGAAACAAAACTGAAGCATGCTCTCCTGCATCTCACTTTGCAATCTCACTCCCAGTCCACCAAACCTTCACTGTCATCAGACCACCTACCAACAGCACTTCCCAGGAGCTGCTAGTCCTTGGGAGGCACTTCAAAGGAAGCTTTTTTCTTTGTCTGTTTCATTTGAACTGTGATTTTTTTCCTCAGAATTTAAGAGAAGAGGAAGGAGCAAGACCCTCCATTTAGATTTTGCAGCAGTTCCCTCTCAGAGAGGCAAGACAGGGTGGCAGCAGATTAGGTTTCCAGGACTGGCACAGCCCACCGACGACTTTGCACTCCCCAAAACATTTGCAGCTCGTAAATGAAACACTTGCAGCTGGCAACACTTCGAAACCAAAGTAAAACCTATGGACAGGGAACARCAGGGCAACAGAAAGGTTTTCTCTGCACTTCAGTGGTGGCACTGAGTTCATAAATGAAGCCCAGACCTGTGAGCACYTCACTTTCCAGCTGGTGGTGCAGGTATTACACAAAGGTAGAATATGAAAGTGCCACTGCTCAGGCCAAGCTGCAGATTCCAACCTTATCTCCCAGAGGATCAGCCCACGAAGGATTTCCCGGAGTGCAGCCTGCAGACAGATGAATGCTGCTTTAACTACACAGTCCACAGAGATGCAATATGCAGATCACAATGAAAGGACTTTCTGAATCAAAAATAAATCTGGCTCACCCTCAAGGTTTTGGGAGCTCATTTAACAGGCTGTAGATGTGTTAAGTAAAAAAAGATCACTTTTTGTTTCAGTAGCTGAAAAAAAACAGAAAACAAAACAAAACCAAAATAGAAAAGAAAAACCAAAGCAAACACAACACAGTGTTTTCAGTGTATGTGAAGCACCGTTTCCAGCAAACCAGACTTCATTTCAGGTCAAATGAAAACATTTCCAATGATACAAAACAAAAAAAAAAAAATTTCATTCCATGCATTAGCAGTTGGGCATTTCCTAACACTCCTTAGAACCACTCTCTCTGTTTTCTTCCACAGAGACTTGAGTTGAACTCCTAAGACTTCTCACCCCTCCTGGGGAGCAGAAATGGGGGACTGGAGTTTCCTGGGAGACTTCCTCGAGAAGGTCCACAAACACTCCACAGTGGTGGGGAAAGTCTGGCTGACCGTGCTCTTCATCTTCMGGATGCTGGTGCTGGGGACAGCCGCAGAGTCCTCCTGGGGGGACGAGCAGTCTGACTTCATGTGTGACACGCAGCAGCCTGGCTGCGAGAACGTCTGCTATGACAAGGCCTTCCCCATCTCCCACGTCCGCTTTTGGGTCCTCCAGATCATCTTTGTGTCCACCCCATCCCTGGTGTAYATGGGCCACGCGATGCACACAGTGCGCATGGAGGAGAAGAGGAAGATGAAGGAGGCAGAAATAGAGGCCCGGGARATGAAGAACGGTGGTGACAAATACTACCAGCAGAAGAGCTCTGTGGCAGAGAAGGCTGACCTGTCTGGCTGGGATGAATCAGGAGGCCAAATCCTACTCAGGGGCAGCCTGCTGAACACCTACGTCTACAGCATTTTGATTCGAACTGCCATGGAAGTGGCCTTCATTGTGGGGCAGTACGTCCTGTACGGGATCTTCCTGGAGACCCTGTACATCTGCCAGCGGGCACCGTGCCCCCACCCCGTCAACTGCTATGTGTCCCGCCCCACAGAGAAGAACGTGTTCATTGTCTTCATGCTGGCTGTGGCGGTGCTCTCCCTCTTCCTCAGCCTGGCCGAGCTCTACCACTTGGGCTGGAAGAAAGCCAAGGAGAGGTGCTCCCGGTCCTACAATGCCAGCCCCAGCACAGCCCCCAGCAGGCTGGAGTCTGCCCCACAGGCAGAGAGGGCCCAGATGTACACCCCCCCACCRGATTTCAATCAGTGCTTGTCGACTCCCAACGGCAAATTCATCAGCCCCTTCAGCAACAAGATGGCCTCCCAGCAGAATACTGCCAACTTCGCCACTGAGAGGGTCCACGGCCAGGAGGACGCTGCTGGGGAAGGGCCCTTCATCAAGTCAAGCTACGTGGAGAGTCCAGAGGCGGCCAGCGAATGTGCAGCACCCGCCTTCCCCGAGAACTACTTCAATGAGAAGCGCCGGTTCAGCAAGGCCAGCCGCGCCAGCAGCAAGGCAAGGTCGGATGATTTGTCTGTGTGACCTGTCTCCAGCAGAGATGAGGAGAAGTAGCAGCCCCAGCACTCAGTAAAATTTCTGCAAAGTGGACTCCAAACCCTTGCCCCTAACCTGTCTGTTTTTACACCCACTCTSTATCCTTTCCAGCAATCATCATCGTGCACTGCAGACTGCACCTCTAACAGCTCAAGGCAGGGGCAGCCACAGGTGCTGAAGAGAGGCACCTCAGTCCTGGGATACAAAACCTTCMGCCGTAGTTTTGTCATGGGACCCACAGGGATTATGGACTCCCCACCCTTATCATGGTAAAGCACAAGCCAGCAGATCCTGAGGCTGCCCAGCGGGTGTCCRCTGCGACACTGTGTTCAACACAACAGACCTCAATCCTCTTACATCTTCTGTGGTCTTCATTCAACGTTTGAAACATCAGCTTGGCAATTACACTGARCTGAAGGTTCTCTCACCTGCAGGAAGCAGAAACACACCAGTAGGTTCTCTGAAAGAAAGATTTTCTCATCTGCTTTGTTTTGGCTCTTTCTCCCCCTCCCTTTCTCTACCTGAGCCCAGATATTTTATACCAGTTTACCTACACAATAAATCCTACTTGAATTTTTTGACACTGTGTATATAACAACTCTTCCCCATAAATAAGCACATCCGTGGTCCCCAATGCACAGCTGTCTCATGTCTCACACTGGAATCCCTCCCTCATTCCTAAGTCAGCACAGCAGACTGGCCCCAGGGAAATYGCTTAGATGACCAGTTGATGAAGACTAGGGAATTTTCCCAAGATACTTATATCATCAATCCCAAGCAAGACATCCATTAACAGAAATAGAGACTCTCCTGTGAGAACAGATATTTTACAAGTAAAAAAAAAAAAAGGAATTATCATGTGGAAACAAAGTGGTTTTCCCTTTTTTGAAACTCAGCTTTCAAGCAACCTGAATGCTGCTGAAAGGGTGCTGCCAGCTGCCACTTGAGAGCAAAGCATCCTCTGTTGATCTGCAGAAGAGGTACGGCCTGTGTCTTCTCACCAACCTACCAAAACACTTCATCATCTTTTACAAGCAGAAAATCTTCCTCAGGTCCTGCCATCATTTAGCTCCTGCCTGCTCTCTCAAGCTTGCCAGCCAGCACAAGCCAAGTTGTTTGTCCCCACAGCAAGTCTCTGCTCTGCCACCAAGCCATTATCTCCACTCCCCTCTCATTATCTAGCACACGTGGTGTTAGAAACCACCCATGGACCGGGTCTTTCCACCGCTGCAGCCTCTCAGAGCAACCACCGGGGCTGGAGGCTGCGCTGTGAGTCTGGTGAGTGAGCTCTGCAGGCAGCCCCCATTCAAGACACATTTTCTCAGTGCAGAGCTGACATGCCTSTGTTAAAGATACCTGCTAAACAGAGCTGAGCTGCTCCCTGTCATTTACCCTGCACTGCCCTTTCAGATACAGGCCACAGCTTCCCAACACTGGACTGCACAAACAAATGGCCTYGGACCAGCTGAGGAGGGGACTGAGCCATTCCCTCTCTTAGGGCCACTGAGAGTGAATCCCTGCTCCTGATACACAGCTTTGGTACAGCTCCCTGCGCATATACGTACACATTCACACTCAGATGGGGGAAACCATTTTTTTCTGTTTGTAAGTTTTTATATATTTGTATTTTTTAATCCTGAAAAGACCTGTGTGTTCTCCTTAACATGAGATTTTAGTCAGTCGTGTCTAGGTTTCTCCTAATAAAATTCTAACTCCCTCTCTCCCTGTGGATGTTTCTCCTCTCACATGGCTGAGAATGAGCTGCTAGCATGGACCAGGCTGCCCGCCAGCCTCTGCTGCTCAGAGATCACAAAAATTCCCATCGCCCARAGTGGCAGGAATGAGGGGAAAGTTTGGCCGGGGGGATAAATAATAAACACAGGGAAATGATTGATTGACTGGCTAACAGAAACCCCCCCCGCCCGCCTGCCCGCCTCTGCATTACCAAAGGAGGAGCTGGTCAGAGAGCAGAGCTTCCATCCTCTTGCAAACACTTGCTCCCTGTCTCTCCTTGCATATCCTAGCACACCTCTGTACCTGGAGAGGCCACCTGGGATGTCAGGCCAACTCAGCAGCAAGAGGGAAGCTAAACCTGTCCCCCAAGCAACTGGTTACTTGTCCGTGCAGTAACAGGGCCCTGAAGTCTTTTTAAGAGACAAGGCCTTGAGAGAATCTGCTGCTAACCATTTCTGCTCAAATCTCTTAAGATGTMTTTGCCTAGCCCAAAGAAAATCCCTTTCTCTCCCCAGCTACGCCTCTCCTCTGAAATTCAGACTTTGCTCCCACTTTCCAATATTCACAGGCTCCCTCCTTCTGACCTTGGATCCCCCTGTCCACCCAAAGGAAGTGCCCTTCCTCCCTTCCTCTCTTTCTCCACACAATCTTCCATCCCATGGGATTCTGCAGGCTGGGAAGCTGGACACCAGTAAAGCACTGGGTCCCAGCAAGGAGCCTGAGAGGGGGCATAAAGAATGCATCCAGAATTCAGTGATGACACTGGGACAAGTCCTTTAGCTGCATTAGAAATTCCAGGGGGCCTTGGGGGTTTCAGCCCAGGAGAGAGGATGCCACCTGAGCATGCACAGCCCCACAGTGCAGCAAGAAGGCAGRACTGGTCCTGCAGGTTTTTAGCTGGCATGTGCAGAGCCCTGGGCATGCCTGTCCCTTAGGGTGCCACCTTGTTGTGAGAGACAGGAAACGAGAAAGTCAGGAGTGCTCCCCTTGGAAAACTTGGCTGAGAGATGTGATTGTTTAGTAAAGACACTCAAGCACAAACATAGATCTTGTTCAGTAAACTATTCTTGGTTTAAAACAAGCAATAGTGCAAACCTTTAAAACTCTGAGCTACAGTCTCTGCTGGAGGGCAATGTAGAGCTGAAAAAAGAGGATAARGATCTCCTCTGTGCCTTTTCAGACATCTATGATCCAACCATGTTCACAGGTGAGATTTTGGTGATCTCTGAGATCAAAAGAGTACAACCATTCCAGCTCTCTCTCATCCTAGAGATTGCAAGTATCAAAGCAGATAATTTCCCTCTGACATTCATTTCTTAATGCCTCGATGGTTCTGTCTTCTAGGTATAACAAGTGGGGAATATTTGATGGATGGATGTTTGTGCTAGTTGACAGACCATAAACTTGTGATTCTTGGAACCCACTGTCAAGGCTGGCCAGGCTGTCACACCATGGTAGGAGCACATTTAATTCAGGCTGGCCTGTCTTTTCAGACAGATTTAATATTTATTGCTTTGTACAACATGGATGGGTAGACAATCTTACAGTTGTGACCTGATTCAACATAATATMTTAAATTCAGTCCCTGGATAGGTATTCAATCTTTAAATGGCAGCATTAAAAAGACAATGCTCTGAGAGGGAGAAAAGAGAAAACATGAGAGCTTTTAATTTTCTTCTTGCCCCTCTTTTCTCCAATCCTACTTGCTGGGACTGCTGAGACTCAGAACCATGAATTCTTCAGCAACAGCTGGAACCAACATTTGACYGAAACACCATCCCCAGTCATGTCTTTGGTCAGCACACCTCAGACATTTTCCTCCTCTAACTGGTGTCTGAAGGAACCAGAAGTCAGTTCTGATCTACAGCCTTGTGCTGATCAGCTGGTGAGCCTGAGATAGGACAGGGAAACATGTTTCAACWAGCCTTTAAAACAGAAATACTTAATCCTATAAAAGGAAAACCTATATTTGAAAATACMTAGAATGCCAAAACTAATAAAGTAATAAATTGAGACAAGGTCATGCCYCTAAGTTCCTCTCCATGAAGAGCASAGCAGGACAGCTGAGCAGACYAAGAGAAATTTGAGGWAGAAATTAGGAGAGAGAGACTCAAAAGTAGTGGCTGATTTAGAGGATATGGGCCCAGCAARTTGTTTCCTCTTTCAGAAKATGTGGGCAAGACAGTATTTAAGCAAACTCAATGCAGATAATACTTCAGACTGTTAGAAGGGAACAGGTGAGAGGATGACGGRCTACACAATCTCCCTTCAAACACTTTTCCATTTAACATCACTGAGACCAAGGAATTAGGAAGACACAAACCCCAAAGAATAAAAGCACTGTGTGTTCATAGGAATGAGCCCATGCTTGGCTGGACTGTAAATGGCCAAAGTACAAAGAAGGCAGAAATTCTCAACTCAAAAAGTCATTGTAGCATAGCAGAGAGCCCGGCACATAGCAATGGTAGGCACTCCAGAGTGCTTCCCTGCTGGCTTTGCTGCTTTCTGGGAAGCCTGGGACTAAGCCACAAGAGGAACTGCTGTTCCCAGGGGAGCTCCCTTGGGAGTCTGGCCAGAAGGATGCCCAGGTTCTGAGTGCCCCTGAGGGAATGCAGCTCCTCCGCCCAGCAGGGGTGACAGGAGGGGATCCTGTATAGGGCTGATCCTGTACAGGTTCTGTACACATTTGTGAATAAAGAACATTTCAGTGATTCAGGTTAGCGGTGCCACCAGAGGTATGGATAGACTGAGAATGAGGATGGAGTGGCAGCTCTGTAAGATACACTTTATGGGGGGAAGAACTGTGACTTTGAAATGCAAAATTAATAGCTTTGCTTTTGCCTGAAGTGTTCATTGCTTACATGGTCTAGATGATTAAAGATCTTTCTGGGGAGCTCGGGAATTGTAGTACCATACATCTATAACTTTGTCATGAAAATCTGATGACAGAAAAAGAAAGAGGACCAAATGAGCTTGTAAGACTCACTGTAGCCAAATAATGCAGAAATGCTTCATTTTTCCTCCAGTGAACATTGGTTCATATTTTTAAAATGAATTTGCTGAGGCCATATTCACATACCACCACTGGYTTCCCACAGACATTTGAGCAATTGAGTTTGACGGGCAACAGAGTTCTCAGAAAGCAAATGTCAGTCAAGGAAACCAAATTTTAAATCCATATGGGCCCATATCCACCCCAGAAGCAGCTCTGTGCTCCTTCAGCCTTCAGGAAGTATGAACAGTATTGTGTAACCCATCCAGTACAGTGTAGCCAATCCCAAAGCAAACAACACACCTCCACTGGAGCCTTTAGGCAATAAATACTCACCAAAAGACATTTTAAAGACAGTTAAATGCATTTAGATTAGTAATAGAAAACATCTAGGAGAACCRTGATGTACTGCCTGGCAGAAATGGTGGTTACTTCAAACATACTTTTAGGTCACTTCCACTGGTTCCCRGGCACTGGAATCCTGGATGTCCATGCAGAAATCCCACAGAAGGATGGATGTGAACAAGGGGACCCTGACTTCTCGGCTGCTCAGGAAGTTTCCCTGGAAGGTTCAGCAGCTTCTCCCCCTTAACACTTTTCACCCTTTTGTGCCCCTGAACAGAGGTTTTGTCCTTCCCTTGCCAGCCCCTACACCTCCCGAGCACAAGGTGTCCAAAGGAGGGTCACAAGGATGGTGAAGGCTCTAGAGRAAAAGGTTTATGAGGAGCAGCTGAGGTCACTGGGTTTGTTCAGCCTGGAGAAGAGACTGAGGGGAGACCTCACTGCAGTCTTCAACTTCCTCATGAGGGGAAGAAGAGGGGCAGGAACAGATCTCTTCTCTGCAGTAACCAGTGACAGGACTCMASGAAACAGCAGGAAGCTGTGACAAGAGAGGTTTAGATTGGATATCAGGAAACAGTTTTCCACCCAGAGGGTGGTTGGGCAGTGGAAMAGGCTCCTCAGGGCAGTGGTAACAGCACAACCCTGACAGAGTTCGAGAAGTGTTTGAACAATGTTCTCAAGAATATGGTGTGATTTTTGCGGTGCCCTGTGCAGGGCCAGGAGTTGGACTCGATGATCCTGATGGGTCCCTTCCAACCCAGCATATTCTATGGTTCTCTGAACACACCGCAGCACCAGCATAAAACCCACTCCCCCATCCTCTAACATGCCAGGCTTCGTAGCCAACCCATCAACACAAACCCACTGGTCTCTGGGTGAATAAAAGCAATCATTCCATGTATATTGGAAAAAAGTAAAAAAGTATGCCCCCAGAGCAAGCCAGGAAGCAAAACACAGAAAAGCTGCACTATTTACATATTCCTTTAAAATTATTCCTGCACTGAGGCCTGTAGGACTGCTACATTAAGCCTCTCTCCTCCCTCGAGGTGGCTACATTTTATTAGGAGATTAGGCAGTTTTTTTTCTCTTTTCATTTCTGTATTACAAACTCTGTTTGGCTGGCACATGACAGGCAAGAAAAACAACCCCTCTGCAGCATTTGCAGGACCAAGACCACTCTCTGCAAACCACTGTTATTTTTTGAGAGGATATCTCCACTTCTCAGGGCTGGATCACAGCAGGAAGCTGGGGTTTTGTGACTCATTATTCATATGCAAGAGCTTCTCTTTACAATAAAGTTATTTTAGACAGGAAGGGGTAAAGCAGAAGGGGCCAAGCTAGGGGTCAAAATGAACTGGTGGGGACCCAGGAGAGAGTTCAATTTCATGCTCACATTGGACACGAACCCAATCTCAAGAAGGCATGTCAGTGATGGTCAGCTATATGACAATACAAAGAATGCAAAGATTTTCCTAGAAACTGGATCTGGGTGGGTAGGCCATGACATTTTTATCAACAGCCCCAGCAACACCCAACACTCACATTCAGCTGCATGTAAAGTTTCACTAGAAATCAAGTTAACCACCAGCTCCTATCCTTAAAAGGAATCAG